GTTGAATTGATCCCTTAATCATTATGTAGTGTCCCTCTTTGTCTCTCTTAACGGTTTTTGTGGTAAAGTTTATGGTGTCTGATATTAAGATGGCTACGCCCGCTCTTTTTTCATTTCTGTTGGCATGGTATATCTTTTTCCAGCCTTTCACTTTCAGTCTGTATGGATCTTTGTTGGAAAGATGTGTTTCTTGTAAGCAGCAAATAGATGGGTTTTGTTCCTTAACCCAATCAGCCAATCGGTGTCTTTTAACTGGACAGTTCAGGCCATTCACGTTCAATGTGACTAATGATAAGTGGTAACTTTGCCCTGCCATTTGCCAAAGATAAGTTCTAATATATGCTTTGAATTCCCTGTGATCTTCTGCTGTGAGGTTTCCTTCCTTGGTTTCCTTCCTTTACCTTCTTTCATATTGATGACCGTGTTTCTTTGTTTCTGTGTGTAACACATCTTTAAGCATCTTTTGCAGGGCTGGACGAGTGGCAACACATTCTTTCAATTTCTGTTTGCTATGAAAAGTCTTTATTTCACCTTCATTCACAAATGATAGCTTTGCAGGATATAATATTCTGGGCTGGCAGTTGTTCTCTCTTAGTACCTGGGCTATATCTCGCCATTCCCTCCTAGCTTGTAGAGTTTCTGATGAGAAGTCAGCTGTGAGTCTGATTGGAGATCCTCTGAGAATAATCTGACGTTTCTCTCTTGCACATTTTAGGATCTTTTATTTATGTTTCACTGTGGAGAGTTTAATTACAATGTGTCGTGGTGAGGATCTCTTCTGGTCGTGTTTATTAGGGGTTCTGTGAGCTTCCTGTAATAGGATGTCTCTGTCCTTCTCCAAACCTGGGAAATTTTCTGCTAATATCTCACTAAAAAGGCCTTCTAATCCTTTCTCCCTCTCCATGCCTTCAGGAACTCCTAGAACCCGAATGTTGGGTTTTTTAATAGTATCCTGAAGATTCCCAACAATATGTTTTAGATTTCTAATTTCCTCTTCTTTTCTTTGGTCTGACTGTATCCTTTCCTGTTCTCTGTCTTCTAAGTCCGATATTCTCTCTTCTGCTTCACCCATTCTGTTTGTAAGGCTCTCTATTGTGTTTTTCATTTGATCTATTGAATTCTTCACTTTAGTCACTATCACAGTTTCCTGTTGTACTAGTTGTTTCATTTCATTTTGATTCCTCCTTAATATTTCATTTTCATGAGAGAGATTTTCTATCTTGTCCATTAAGGATTTGTGTAGTTCAAGAATTTGTTTTTGAGAACTTCTTAATGTTCTTATCAATTTTTTGAGATCTGCTTCTTGCATTTCTTCTATGTCATCATCTTCATAATCTTGAATTGGGGTGTCTTTTTCATTTGAGGGCTTCATGGTGACTTCCTTGCTTTTATTACCTTGGTTTTTGCATTTGTTATTTGGCATATTGGAGATATTTGGTTTCTTCACTGTGGTGCTTTTTCTTGTTATACTATGGCTTTAGATTAAGTGGACTATCTGTTTTTGATGGAGCCTTAGGGCTTGAGATGGGTGTGGCCTGAGAGCTCTGTTTGGTGTGCCAAAGGTGACACTCCCAGGTTAGGCATGGTAAACCTCTTTCTCTCTCTCTCTTTCTTTTTTTTTTTTTTTTTTGATTCAAAAGGGAAGTTATTCTGCACAGCTGAACGAAGTTGGAGGTAGTTAGCAGGCAAATGATATACCCACAGGAGCCAGAGATCAGAAGCTCTTTTCCAAGGACCACACAGGGAATCTGTTCGGCCCTCAGAGTGGGCTCAAATTCTCCTTCAGTCTCCCACTGGGTTGCCAAAGTTATGGAATTGTAGCGTCTCTGGAGAGTGCTCACGTGAATTCCATGAGTTCTCTCCCCCACCGTCTCTTTTTTCACAGTCTCAGTTCAGCAGCACCACAAATTTACTAGGTCCTAATCTCCTGTTAATTCGCTCCACCCAGAGTCAGGTTTTTCTGCTAGGCTCAGGGCCGGTGCAGACCTGAGGTCGCTCTGCTTATGACGTATGTCCAAGATAGTGCCTGCTCTTTGTCTTGATCGCCCTTGAGAGGTGAGCGGAGAGAGAAACCCGTGTCCGTACCGTGTCTGTACCAGTCACCATTTTTTTTTCTCTCTCTCTCTTCCAGCTAGCCTGGTGAACTTCCCCCCCCCCGGGGGGGTCGTTCCCTCTAGTCTCCTCTCTCCGCTTGCCTGCCGGTGTCTCGGGCTATTGAGGTTCGGCTCACCTCGCGTTCCAGCACTGGTGTGTTGAGTCTGCCGCTGGTGTCCCGAACTGTGGGCTCCCACGCTCTCCATGCAGGTCTGCTCCCCTTCCAGCGCCGATGTGTGGACTCGGAGCCCTGGACGTCCCAAGCCTGCCCACTGTTGTCTGTGTGGCATGCACTCCCCTTCGAGCACTGGCGCGCAGACCCTGCGGCTTCCACGGCTCGGTCCCGCGGCTCGGTCCCGCGGCTTGGCTTCCGCGCGGTGGGCGACCTTGTTCTCCCAGTAGGTCCTCCGATTCACGGCCACTCGATCCAGAAGAGTTTCCTCTGCAATATTTTCCTGGTTCTTTTTTCTGAGGCTACCGTAACTCCCCTTTTATTAAACTAAATTTTCCCGGACTATCGGCGCGCGCCCTCACTATTCCGCCATCTTGGCTCCGCCCCTAGGTAATGAGTATTATTTTTAATTCCTTTTTAAGTCATTGTAGTTCATTTGTAAGATGAATATCACATATATTGCTTGTTTATTACACTGATAAGTTTATTATATTTAAATTTATAGTTAAAAGATTGAGTTATAATCTATTTATGTATTTATGTATATTTTTGTATGGCCATAAGGTATCACAAAATTTTGCCTTTTCACCCTAAAAAAGAAAGGGAAATAGGAATAATTACATTTATCTCAATTTTTCCAATTTTAATTAACCTAGTTATGAGAATTTTGTTTACCAAACTTAGCATTAAAGTAACAAGACAAGTTAAAAATAGAATTTGTCTTGTGGACATAATGAAAATATAAGAATATGTCTTTTAATGAGTGAATATTTTAAGGGTTTCTTAAGAAACATACTCATATTCAAATACAAATATTGTTATAATATCTGCCTACCAAGGATTCCCTATACTTCCGATTCACAAGCTTTTTTTCCATTTTTGTTCATAAAGCTTCAGGATAGACTGGAAGGAAATTAGACTAATTTCATAACAATGATTAGAGTTATGTTACTTATTTCAGACTTTCATTAGAGTCAGTGGCTGAGGCATAGCTATTTTACATAAGAGTTATCACAGCAACAACATGTAAAATCTACACGTAGCTTAGTTCTAGATCTCCATTAGACTTCATGGTTCTCCATGCTGTGTAGTCTTCTGTGGATGAATCCTGCCCACCACTTTTCAGTTAGTGACTTAGCCTCCCAGGATCTATTATTGCTTTCCCTTTCACACTGTGTTGCTGTAACCCTCTAAGCCAAGTCCTGGTTTTTCATTTACTCACAGCAGCAAAACCTACAATTGCTTACTTCTTTATTGTATATGATTTATTTATTTTATTTGAAAGTCAATTACACAGAGAAGAGAGACAGAGAGAGAGGAGGAAGGGAGGAAGGGAGGCAGGGAGGGAGGGAGGGAGGAAGGGACGGAGGGTAAAAGAAAGAGAGAGGGAGAGGGAGAGTCTTCCATCTGTTGGTTCACTCCCCAGTTGGCTGCAATGGCCAGAGCTGTGCCAATTCAAAGCCAGAAGCAAGGAGCTAGGAGCCAGAAGCGTCTTCCTGGTCTCCCACGTGGGTGAATGAAATATGAATGTCTCAAGGGCTTACAGATACAGATGGCAGGTGTACCAGGAGTTTCAGGCCAGCTCAAGTCAGCTGCTCCCAGGAAAGGCTCAGGGCCAGGGGCTGCCCCCAGGATGAGTGACTCAGGGGCTGGCATTCACTAGGCACTCCCGGAGGGAGGCATGTTGGACATCATGCCCAGGCAGTTTAAGGAACCAAGACAAAATAAAAAAAAAAAAAAAGGAGGGTGGGTGAGGTGACAGCACCCTGCAAAGTTTGCAAAGGGGAACAACCCAATGACTTTCTAATGTCCGCACTTAAGGAACGTAAAATGAGGAGAGGTGCACGGATATTTTGCACCGGAGGGTTGGGTGGGCATTCTCTGCTTTCCTCTCTTGTGAAATGGTCACGAAAGTACACCCTATAAAGTGTCATGGTGATACCTGCACTGCCTCTGAACTCTGCCAGCAAGTTCATCATCAGATGCCATCCCCAACCCTGGCCCAAAAAGCTGAGCAAAATAAGACTTCCATTTCTGAGTTCCCCAGCTTGTAATGTGCATGTCTGGGGAGAAAGGAGGGAACGATGACCCCCAACCTCCTCACCGCATGAACGCTACAGCACATCCAGACTCCCCCATCACCCTCCGTCCTCTCCACACAACCTGGGGAGAGGCGGACTGCACGCACGCAGAGACGGAGAGGAGGCTCTGGAGCCAGCCCAGGGCGCTGGTTCAGGGACGGGGCTGTTGCCCACAGTCAGGAGCCCGCCCAGCCCTCACCGCAGGGGTCCGCAGATAGAAGAGCTCACTTGGGGGAAGTCCAGCCCCGCCCTGTCGCTGGCTCAGGCAGGATCCACCCACCCCACAGCCCCATCTGGGAAACCTGGCCCCATACTCACCGTTTCCCGCTTGCGAGGTCAGGGGCTTCCTCTCCTGAGAGCTGAGAAGGCCAAGCCACGGGGGTGGGGGGTGGGGGGGACGCACCTGCCACTGTAGGCTGTACGTGACTAGGACACAGGGGTCTCCTGAGATGGCAAGGTTGTCCGCCACCCTCACGGGGGCCCCTGATTGGACAGCTGCCAAGCCGATGGGCGTGCGGAGCGTCACAAAAGCTGTAGCCAATCAGCACGCTTGCTGTCACAGTGGGCATGGAGAGGCTGTTGCCGGGCAACGGGAGTGCGGGCCGGGTTTGGGGTCTGAGGCCCCCCCCCCCCCCCCCGCTGCCTGAGTTCTGGGCAGCGGCGTCGCTGTCATCTCATTGTCCTGCGGGGCTCTCAGGACCTCTAGAGTTCGCCGTGAGCTGCAGAAACTGCTCCAGGTGAGTCACCGCTAACTGCGGTTCATTACTCCTGGTCTTGTGTTTCTTCACATTCCCCAACGATTTCTCTTCTGGGAAGTTGTACGTGTGTACTGTTCATATGAACTAGGTTTAAAGATATCGTGTGGTTAATCCTGATTCATTTCTCTTGTGGATATGTGTTTTCTAGTCTGTCTTTCGTCTAATATTATTTTCTATGTGTTTCTTGCTGTTAGTAATGACATTTAAAAAAAAAAAAAAAAGGTTTATTACCTGAAAGACAGGTGACAGAGGCAGAGAAGTCTTCTGTTATGGGTCACTCCCCAGGTGGCTGCGATGGCTGGAACTGGATCAATCCGAAGCCAGGAGCCAGGAGCTTCTTCCAGGTGTCCCACACAGGTGCAGGGGCCCAAGGACTTGGGCCATCTACTACTGCTTTCCCAGGTCATAGCAGGGAGCTGGATCGCAAGTGGAGCAGGCGGGACTCGAACCAACGCCCAAATAGGACGCCCGGTAATAACATTTTACCCAGTAATCTCGTTACCCTCACTTGTCAGTTGTATGTAGTTCAGGATTACATTGATTATCTGTATGTAATGGATATCACCTGGGTATATGGACAGAGTTTCTGGTTTGTTTAAAGCTTGATGCTTGTTTGTTTTTGTTTGATTTCCCTGTTAGAAATGGAGAGAAGACAGCAGGCATGTCTGGGTCTGTTCCCAGGGGAAAAGCTTTCCCTGATCCTGTGTTAAGTGGTTTGTTGTAGGTCCATTTTAGACTATCTTGATCACATACAGCAAATCACTGTTTTTTGCAATTTTTCTAAAAGATTTTTTATGTTTGGATACTGAATTTAATTAAATGCTTTTTAACACTTAATCTAAATGGTTATGTAATTGCCTCACATTTTCTACCTACCTGGATGTTTTACAGGGTTTGTTTGAGAATGCTGAATGTTCTTCACATTTTAGTGTGTCTCAGTTGTTATAGACATATTATGTTTTCCTGTATGGTTGAATTCACATAATAATAATTTGCTTAGGATATCATCTGTTTATGAAACAGATGCTGTTTATTTTCATTTTTAGTATGTTCTCTGATGTTTGCATCATATACACAGCACTGGCTTCCCAAAAGAAATTGAAATATATCCTCTGTTTAGTTCCAGTTGGAGCTTGTTTGCTTGTTTGGGAAATTTAAGGTTTTTTATTGAAAGTTTGGAATATTCCATGTATATGGGCCTAAAACTTTACTTGTGGAACGTTTTTCTTGGTTGATTTGGCTCCTTAAAATTGTTTCAACTTATTAAATTATGTAGTAGCTTTTCTATTTCATCTGATATTTGTGTTTTGGGAAACTGATTTTCAGAATGTAGCAGATATTTTCCTCTGGAGTCAAATTTTTACTTCTATAAATTTAGCAAAATCCTCTTAGTAACTTAGTAAGTTCTGTAAGCTCTATAAAGAATGCTTCTATATTAATTTCCTGAAATTAGTTATTATTTATTTTATTAACATTCTTAAAGATTTATTTATTTATTTGAAAGTCAGAGTTACACAGAGAGAGGAAAAGCAGAGAGAGTGGTCTTCCATCTGATGGTTCACTCCGCAGTTGGCTGCAACAGCCAGAGCTGTGCCAACCTGAAGCCAGGACCTTCTTCTGGGGTTCCCAAGTGGGTGTAGGGGCCCCAGGACTTGGGCCATCTTCCACTGCTTTCTCAGGCCATAGCAGAGAGCTGTATTGGAAGAGGAGCAGCCAGGACTAGAACCGGTGCCCATATGGGATGCCGTCACTTCAGGCCAAGACATTAACCTGCTGTGCCACAGCGCCGGCCCCTATTTTCGTAAGTTTTAAAATATATTTTCCTTATATGTTTCTGTAGTACTTTTGTGACTATGAACTTTTTAAATTGATGTCTGTTGTCATCTGTTACCTGCTTTTTTAAAATATTCTTCCATCTCCTGTGTCTTCAGCACATTTTTAAAAGACTTATTTGAAAGTTACATAGAGAAACAGAGAGAGAGATAGAGACAGAGAGACAAAAAGAGCTTCCATCCACTGGCTCACTCCACAAATAGCTGCAATGGCCAGGGCTGGGCCAGTCCAAAGCCAGGAGCCAGGAATTTGGAGCTTCTTCTGGATCTCCCACATAGGTGGCAGGGGCCAATACATGAGGGCCATATAACACTGTTTTCCCAGGTCATTAGCAGGGAGCTGGTTCTGAACTGGAGCAGCCAGCATACAAACCAGCACCCATGTGGAGTGTCAGCATCACAGTGTGTAACCCATTGCACCACAATGCCACCCCCTCCATCACATCTTTCCTTGAGTGTCCATCTGTGCCTGCATCCCAAGCCAGCTGCCATAATTCTTTTTTTTTTATCTTTTATTTAATGAATACAAATTTCCAAAGTACGACTCAAGTCTTTAAATCATCTTTAATTAATTTTAAACAGTATTTATTTGAGAGCAATAAGACATAAAGAGACAGCTAGAGAGTGATCTCATGTTGATTGACTCCACATATGCCCACAAAGGCCAGGACTGGGCCAAACAGAAATCAGTAGTGTGGAATTCAATCCAGCTCTCCCTCATGGTAGAAGGAATCCAGTGCTTGAGTTGTCATGACTCCCTCCCAGCATCTGCATTAGCAGGAAACTGGACTCAGAAGTCAGAACTTGGTATCTAGCTGAGGTACTGTGATATGAGATGCTAGCATCTTAATGACTAGGGTAAATGAACACCCTTGAGTTCATTTTTTGGTAAATGAGGAGAGATAAGAGTAAGTTTAAATTTTCTGCATGTGGGTATTCAATATTCCAAGCACCATTTATTGAAAAGACTGTCCTTTCTGCAGTGTAAATTTTTAGCCCTTTTTTGAAGATCAGCTGGCTGGAGATGTTTAAGTTTACTTTTAGATTCTCTAAATATTTTTATTAATGTAAAGAAACAGATTTCATGTATTTCATAGGTACAATTCTAAGAAGATAACCATAGTTCCCTCCCTCTCTCTCTCTCTCCTTCAATCCTTCTTCATCCTTCTTTGCTTTAATTTTTGCAAAAATATAAACTTTAAAAACATAATTTCATAATTTCCCTTACAATCTCAGATATAGTGCACCAATAACAATAATATTCAGCAAGTAAAAAATACAAATACCAAAGTTTCACTAAAATATATACAAGGGCTAAAAACAATAATCAAATCATATGTCCACTTCATTCTTATACATTTTGTATCCTATATTAATTAGCATATATCAGGAAAAACATGAAATTTGTCTTTCATGAATGGCTTATTTCAGTAAGCATCATGGTTTCCAGTTGCATTCATTTGTTGCAAAGACAAGATTTCATTATTTTTTATGACTGGGTAGTGTTCCATGCTACTCATTTTCTTATTCCACTTATCAGTTAATAGAAATCTGACTTGATTTCATATCTTGGTTATTTTCAACTAAGCTGCAATAAATGTGAGGAGTAAAAATAACTCTCCCATAGACTGAGTTCATCAAATTTCATCGGATTTCATGTAGTAGATCTATTTTCAGATTTCTGAGGAATATCCTTACTGTCCTCCATAATGGTTGTACCACTTTACGTTCCCACCAACAGTGCATTAGGGTAAATTTTCCCTCACATCCTTACCAGCATTTATTATTTTTTGGTTTTTGGATAATAGGCATTCTAGCTGAGATGAAATGTAACTTCATGGTGGTTTTCTTTGCATTTCCCTGATGGTTAGAGATACTGAGCATCTTTTCATGTGTCTGGCAGCCATTTACATTGCACCCTTTGAAAAATTCCTGTTCATGTCCTTTGCCCATTTCTTAACTACAGTTTTGTTGTAGTTGAGTCCTTTCAGGTCTTTATAGATATTGGATATTAACCCTTTATCAATTATATAGAGAAAAACTATATTCTTCTGTATGTTCACTTTGTTGCTGAGTGTTTTCTTTACAACACAGAAGCTTCTTTGCTTTTGTCTCTTTCTGCCTTCATTACCTGTGCTTCTAGGGTCTTTTCCAAGACATCTTTGCTTATGCCAATGTCTTGCGGAGTTTCCCCAATGTTTTCCTCTAATAATTTGATAATATCAGGTCATAGATGTAGATCCTTGATCAATTATGAGTTGATATTTGTATAGGGTGTTAATATAGGTCTTATTTCATACTTCTGAAGGTAGAGATCCAATTTCTCCAGCACCATTTGTTAAAGAGATTGTTCTTTCTTCAGGGATTGATTTTTAGCTTGTTAATTGATTGTGGATGCATGGATTAACTTCTGTGGTTTATATTTTGTTCCTTTGGTGTACATGTCTATTTTTTTTTGCCACTTTTTGGCTGTTTTATTTATAACTTCCCTGTAGTACATCTTGAAATCTATTATTGTGATGACTCTGACTTTATTTTTGTTGTTTAAAATTGCTTTAGCTATTTGGGGTCTCCAGTGTTTCCATACAAATCTGAGAATAATGTCCTTGGTATGTTGACGGGGATCTCATTGAATCTATAAATTGCTTTGGCTAGTTTCAACATTTTGGTGATATTAATTCTTCAATCCACAAACATGGAAGGTTTTTCCATTTTTTTTTGTTATTCTGTTTTTTTAATGTTTTGTAGTTTCACATCTTTAGTTAAATTTTTTCCAAGGTATTTAATTTTTTGGTAAACATCAACTTTTATCATCAACTTCCCAAGGGTTTCAAGGATTACTTTTTTGATACAATATTAAAATTATAAAAGGCATTGTTAAATATCCATCCCAGATAAATAATTTCTGTCAAATCATGTATAAGTAGATATAATTATAGATGTGTATTTTAATTATAAATGTATATATTGATGAATCCCTCAAAATTCACTATGGTATTTTTGTTTAAATTTTAATTCATTCCTGAATGTAAACTCATGAGTATCTTAAAATTTGTGGCAGTGAAGCGTGTTCATAACTTACATTCCTACTTTCTCTGCATTCTGAATGATTCAAAACTAGACATGGAAGGAAATGTGAGCTTTATAACCCACAGAGTTATTAGTCTTGGTGTTTAGCAAAAAAGACTCCCTTCTGTTTCCCCAGTACCTTGTATCCTTACCTAGTCACTTACAGAGCACAGATTTTGTCCTAAATTTACAGTATAAATGAGGGAAGACAAGAACTCATGTTCATTTATAGGCATCCTAAAAACATCCTAAATAAAACAAAAGGTGGTATGGTAGCTCATTTACTGCTTCTCCTATCTCCAATCATGTAAGTCATTAATAAATCCCATATAGAGGAACAACTGAGGAGGGGTCAGGAGCAATGCTCTAATATTTAGGCATTTTTCTTTGTGGAGTGGACTGATCCTTGTCAGTCTAAATTCAAACACTTTGTCCCAACAAAAACAAGAAGGCTAGAAAAGTGATCATACCCAAATTGTTTCTTTTAATTGTAGAAAATCACTTGTGTGAGGCCAGCATTGTGGCATAGCGGGTAAAGCTGTTGCCTGCAGTGCTGGTATCCCGCATGGGTGGTGGTTTGAGACCTGGCTGCCCCCTTCCAATCCAACTCTCTGCAATGGCCTGAGAAAGCAGTGGAAAATGGCCCAAATCCTTGGGCCCCTGTACCCATGTGGGAGACCAGGAAGAAGCTCCTGGCTCCTGGCTTCAGATAAGTGCAGCTCCTGCCATTGCACCCACCTGGGGAGTGAACCAGCAGACAGAAGACCTCTCCCCCCGACTTCTGCCTCTGCCTCTCTGTAACTCTGCCTTTCAAATAAGTAAATAAATCATAAAAAAAACTTATTGTGTCCAGCTACAGTCACCATATTAAAATTAATAATGAGAAGAATGTGAAAATTTTGATATTGAACAAGGAATTACTCTCATATGACATGGGTATGAATCTATTGTAAGAACAATATGCATGAGTACATGTTTATAGAATATTTCTGCTGTGGTTTTAGAGTTCTTATGGACTTTAATTTTATAAGTTTTTTAAAATGATGCCAAGTCATTTTATTTACTTGTTTGCTCAAGAGATATAGTCAATTATTTTTATTTGAAGTGAAGAAATAAATTGTAAGTGGTTGGGAAGCAATTAATTCTGGTAATTTGCAATAACCAGTAAGGATGGATGAAAATATTTATATTTAGATAATGTTGCAATTTTAAAATGTGAAGAAGTGAAAAGTGTGTTTCAAAATGAACATTATAAATGGTTCAAAAATGAACATTATAAATTCTCTCCTCAAAATGTATTTCACTTTATATACTCTCCTTATTCTGAAGACATTAAACTGTGACACATTTTTATTGGGAAGGAAAGAATAATGTTCTATTTCAGAATATTAAAAACATACAATTTTAAGTTTTGTTTAACAGTTTGTAATAGTTGAACTTGTATTTTAGGCATAAATATATTTTCTTCATGATGCACTATTACATATATTATTATTTAAATGTAGTGGAGTATATGGGGTAAATGAATAGATTTGTTTTCATTAGAGCAAACAACTTGGCCCTGTGGTATCTAAACTTAGAATGAGTTTGATATCACAACACAATTTACCTTCTCTGCAGGAAAAGTAAAGGATGTTTTGTCCCTAGATTCCAAATCACAAAATAAGACAGTCCAATTTACTTTTGGTTCTCAGTGAAATATTAGTGTGGTTTATAACACCATACATTCATGAAAGCTATATTTTTATTCAAAAGATCACATTTGTACCTTTTTTTCCTTTAACTCTGTAGGTCTAATATTTTTCTAAAGGACAAGTTTTGTTAAATACATGTTCATATGGGTTTTCTGCTGTAATAAATTTCTAAAGTGTATACACTGACATGAAGAACTACACAAAGTACACTCATCTAACAAGGCATATATTTGCTAAATTTGA